GTACATAATTGCAAAATACCAACCTATAACTAAACTACACATGTCTTAGGCTAAACTTTAATATTATTAATTGCAAAATATAATAGATATTTGATTTCCAAAAGAACCACAGCCCACAGGGAGTAGAAACGCACAATATATTTATACAGTTACAACATGGATAATAAAATAAATTTTATTTTATTTATTTTATTTATTTAATAATTTATTTTATTATCCATGGTTACAATAAGCTATATTCCTATAAATTACCTTGTCACCCTTGTAAGTGAAATTGTCTTGTTTTGTATCTTGTCAACACTTCTTTATTTAGCTTGCATTTTATTTAAACTGTTTCAACAAACATGTTTTATAAAATTATGTTTGATATCTATATCCAGAAACAGTTTGAAACAGTAGTGTCACGCATTCGGAAACTGTCGGCGTAATGCCGTAAAGTTTAATTTACATGAAGTACATCGCATATAAATGGTCGGAATTCTAAATTATTTAAAAAAAATACTAAACAAAATGATATTAAACAAATGGCACACCGGGCACTACATCGTGGTTTTAAGTCTTTTACCTGATAATTTGTCAAGTGTTCTGCAAACAAGCAACAGCAAAGATTGTATGGTATGTACGATGTAATCATTGTTTTACTGTTTATTTTATATACAGGTCTGGAAAATTTAATAGATGAGAGTTGCAAAACTTGCAAATCTCGCTCATATTAAACCTCACGTATGTTTTTCGTATGATAGCCAATATAATTATAACTAGGAGCTAGAGTATAACCATGCACATGTCGAAGTACAACCATTGTATACAATGCAGTGCTCGATCTACATGCAACAGTGCACAAATTGCAGGATAACCTTATTATATACTCGTACTCATTGACTCTCATTATCATAGTCTCCTACTGTTGTTCTAACAGCAATTAGGCTTTGAGAAGCCATGTATATTATAGATTAATTTGTAGCCCAGCCACCATAGTCCATATAAATTGTAGCCCAGCCTCCACATTTTACACCAATAATGAAATTAACCAGTAACTCAATTTTGTTGCTGGTAGTGTAATGGAATCTATGGGTCTTTCATATCCCAGAATTGCCTAATTATTGTAAAGTCTGCATAAAGCAGAAAAAAGGCTCTGTTTTTATTAACGACCGGAGCCTATTGAGTGACTAAATATTGTCAGCCTAATCCACTTATTTGATTTATTCATGTTGCATTACTTTTGATTGCAAAACACCTGGATTATACATGATTTGCCAGCAAAATAGCAGCAATTGATAAACTTGAGTACATTATTGACTGAATGTATCAAACAGAATGCATGTTGGCGAGTTAATGCGATTTTAAGCATGGGCGTACGGGAAGGAAAATATTAGGGGGTTGGAAAAAAGTGATTGGTGGGGGGGAGAAGTGATTACAAAAAATTCCTATTAGAAAGCATATTTCCCACATAATTGACAGAATTTCCCACAAAATTGACAGAATTTGTCCCATTTATTTCTATAATAAACCAATATTGCCCGACTGTGAAGCGAATATTGCCCGGCTGGCTTTGTTTGCCCAACAAAGCCAGGGGGCGACCGCCCAGCCAGAAACTGGGGGGGGGGTCACCCCGTCCCCCCCACCCCCACCCAGTACGCCCATGATTTTAAGCGATTTTAGGCGATTTAAAGCGATTTTAGGCGATTTAAGAAAAATTTGACCATTTCAACCCGCGATTTAATGCGATTTTGGGCGATTTTAGGCAATTTAAGGCGATTTACCGCCCCAGAGTAGGCCTAAGATCAGTACTCGAGTATGCTTTTCAGGCGTTTCATACTAGTTTACCGCAGTATTTATCAAATGATATAGAGCATATTCAGAAAGGAGCCTTGCGTATTGATCAAGATTTGAGTTATACAGGAAACTTAAAAAGAGCAGAACAGGAAACCTTGCATGACAGACGGACTATGCTGTGTGATAAGCTGTTTTCAAATGTTATTACGAACCCACAACATAAATTGGCTGAATTGCTACCAACCAAAAATATAAACTCATATGGCCTGAGAAACAATAGAAAGTTTAACGTTAAGCGGACAAAGACAAAAAGATTTAATAATAGTTTTATAATACATCAAGCTGCAAAGTTATAGATTTATTGACTATTGTAAATAAGAATAATAATTCTAATGTAAATAACTACTAATTGAATATTGTAATTAACTACTTTTATCACTGTAATTCAGTCCTCGGACTGCAATGGTTGATTTATATTGAACGATTTAATAATAATAATAAAAGCGTGATTTTCACGTTCATGGGCCAATTTTTTAGCGTCTGACACACGCGGGCGAGAAAAACCAGATATTTTGAAAAATTCAAAATAAATCTTTCTATACTTGCCGTATTCAAACGAAATTTTCTACACGAAAGCGCTTGAATACAAGTAGTATTTTACTGCATTGACTTGTGGCAAATTCCGAAGAGTTCAAGAGATATTCAAGATTTTCTCGATATGAAATACAGAATGTTTGGTCAAGCGGTGAGTAAAATATACGATTGTTTTGCATGGGTTGTGTATTGTTATGATGGCATTTGACCCCCCGTGTAGTATAGTCAACACGTCACTATAGTTATAGTATAGGTGTTATGTTTCGACAGGATATTACTTGGTAATATTAACTATATAATTAACTCATATAACCAAAGAACATCAATATATATTCAGTTAGTTAGTGTTTGGACTACGAATAGACCTGTAGTATTATCATATAGAAGTAAACAAATATACAAATATAGAGATATTATATTGGCGACGAGCATGGCCGATGACGAACAAGCTGCGCATCCAGTAACTATTAGCACACCGTCGGTTTCTATACAACCTCTACCTGAATTTAAAGGAGCAGTGTCACCGTCTGCGCATCTCTTCTGCGCATAGCAAACTTGAAAAACTACAGGATGTAGTTTTTCAAGTTGATGATTCAAGATGGCGGCCATTTGCGAGTGAGTGCATTGCAAGAGAGGCAAAAATTTCGGCACATAGATGTACATACAAGGCAGATGAAACTCTCAAAATAGTGGAATAGGCAGCACAAAAGCTTATACTGATTCCTGAATATATTTGAGGCAAAAAGCATGACAAATTGGGACGAAAATGGAGGCTTGATAAAGTTCACGAAGCGATATCAA